TTTTTTTTTTCGATTTTCTCTTAAAATACTTCATTAAGAATCTCATGTATACTTAATTCTAAAGAATAGTTATATTTCCAGGTATGGTTTACTTATTTTGTATTTGAAAAAACATCCCTATTATCTTAGTAGAAGTATATTTTGGTAATCATAAAATTTATTTGATTACCTAAGTCTCATTTTCTAGAATTTATTTTAACTACCATTAAATTTCCAATTTTTATTGCTTCTTTGCTATTATTAAGCATTAAATTTATAAATAATTGCCAAATAGTAATCTTTGAATAAGTAGCATGTACTAACATATCCATAAAGATTTCCATTTGAATAAATTCCTGATATTTTTGGTTTTTGAGAGTATTGTGCAATTTTTTAATATTTCAATATATAAAAGGATTGCTCCTATTTCTCTAACCTAGTGCAGCTAGATTCTCTAACAATCTTAATATTCAATAAATAGTTTGTACTATGTTTTGTTTAGTTTCAAACAAAATATTATTGATAATTCTCAATTGATAAATGAGTTCTTGATAACTCATAATTTTTTGAAGGAGTGAAACTTTTTAAATTACCAAATTACTAGATTTCTATTTTATTAGGAATAACTTAAGGTTTGACGAAAATCTCTAATTTGTTTGCAAGAGGTTAAATGTAATATGCTAGTTCAAGAATTAATAGTTCTAATTCAGCTAAGGAATTAAATAGTTTTCGATTGACAACGTATTTATAAAGATACGCCAATTGTATTTTGATAAGGTGTATGCTATGTAAATTATTTTATAAATATAATGTGCACTTATTATAACATATATAATTATCGAAATTTTGTAATCTAATTATAAATTGAAGATATAAAATTTTTCTTTTTAATATAACAAGACTATTCTCTAATGTTTTGATTAGAAAACAGATGTAGGATATGTTAAAATAGTTTTTCTGCCATTAATAGTATCTAAATATACATAGTAGTTTATAATGATTTCTTCTCAAATGATGTTTTATAGTCTTTAGATTTAAATAATGTATAAAAAAAAAAATTGTAAGATTGATATTAAGTACATAATTAAATTGAGATGGATTCAAGATGCTTAAATAAGTTCATAACCATATAATTTTATTATTGGTTCGAGTATTGTTTCAATAAGTCAAGAATCAAACTAAGTCTGCTAAAGAAAACAATTTCTTTTTATTCAGTTTAGTATCATTCTACCTTAATCGATATTTAATATCAGTTTTGCAACAACAAATAAAGATATAAAAGTCAAGTATTTGAAGATTCAATTAGAATGAGGAAAAATAATAATAATAAATTCAAAAATATATATGTAATAAGTATTAGTGTAAGAATGATTATAATACCAATATCATATATTGGATTAATCAAAAAAACTTCATTATATCATTTAATTCCTTCTGCTATTGATTCTAATTTTATACAACTATATCTAATATAAATTAATTCATAACATGTCATTTAAATATACATAGTTAATAATTATTCTTTTGTGGTTAATAGGTAATACCTCTTGATATTGATTCAAATTTTATACAACTATAAGCCATAAGAATGAATTGAAGATGAAACTCATTATTTATTAGACTATTAATTACAGTTTTTAAACCATGCAGAATCGTATTTAAGGTTAATAGATATTGCTTCATCGTAACCTTTAATTGCCTCTTGATGTTGATTCAGATTTATAATGAATCACTTAAAAATTAATATTTAACAATTAGTTACTCTCGTTATTCCAAGCAGAATCAAATTTTGGTTACTAGATTTACTTCATCGTAACATTCGATTGCCTCTTTATATTGTTTCAAATCAGCTATGCAGATCCTAAAAGAATGTTTAAAAATTACTACACAATTCTTTTTTCATCTTAAGGATGATTAGAAATAAGTTAAACCATAACAATAATAATGATAATTCATTACACATTTTAGTCTATTATAAATTTCTAATTGAAACTTATCAAATGAAATAATGAATGCCTATACCAAAACTTGATTCGATCAAGGTGAATTTAATTTAAGCAAGCAGATTGTTTGAATTAATATCTTTAAGTTAGGTGATTCTTATATTTATACATGCTTTCAGAAACATGTTATCTATTAAGAGTTAAATTTTTAAAATTTAATGATATTTATATTTTCATTCTGTAAAATAATAATTCAATTTTATTTTTTCTATTCTATATAGTTTTCTAAAATGCAACTTCCTTTTAATTTGAATAATGATTTTAGATCTACACCTAAATAATTCACATATACACCTTTCAAGAGTAACGTACCTTTAGCTTCTAAATTCGGATTTTAAGATATTCGTTAAATTGTTACATTAGGGGTTGCTAAAAAAAATTAAAATAAATACAACATTCTGGAGAAACATTATTTTGAATTATTGAAGATTAAAATTAAGCTAAAATACCTGGATTAGATGATCAATCAGATTATTTTATTTCAATATATTACTCTTCTTATGATAGAAATTGACTGAATAAATTGTTGATGAATGACCATCTAATTTTGCTAATTATTATCCTGTCTGAGCATCGAATAAACGGATGGAATAGTCTCGGCAGG